TGTGTGAGTGAGTGAGTGAGTGAGTGAGTGACTGAGATTCAAAATTACCAAATATCACAACAACACAAGTCAAACTTATAAACATCACATGAAATAGAAATAGGATTGAACAGTCCTTTGCTTATCCTAGCGTAATAATAAAGCCCAGTTGTGTTACCCGTCCATGAAAAAGGAGGAAAGGTCCTTTTTGGATGTGCTGTTCGAAGTCCAGTGAAGTGGTCTTATTGGTTTGTGGCTCCTGTTGTGCATCTGCTGGTCAGACCTTGTGTCGTGGCCAGTTGTGCTGAAGTTCATAGGCAGTCTCTCGCGTTGCTGCCTTTGGAAGGTTTTAGCAGTCTGCTCCAGGCAGGCCTGCTTGAAGTTAAGGAGCTTGTGTGTGAGAGGAAGTCTCCCTAGCTGGGAGAGCAGGAGCATTACAGGAGCAGTCAGTAGGGAAAGAGGCAAAAGAGATAGAGGAGAGGGGAAACTCGGCTTATATTGGCCTTGTGACCTCATGAGTCATGGGGCACACAGTGACCAATAGTGGTTGAAAGTGGTCTCCAGGCTCAGTTTTACCACCTATGTGTGAAGATGAAGCACCCTGGGAGACTGAGTTCTGGAAGGTCTCCTTTGTCTTCAGAGAAAAGGAGACATGCAGTCAGGCTTTTGACTACACATGTAGACCCAACTATGGTTCACAGATACCAGGTCCCAACAATGGGTTGATAAAGATCTGGTGTGTATCATTATTACTCCGGAGGTAAAAACTGAAATTTATTGTAGAGTTCTTCAGTGTTTTTTCATCTTTTGCAAAAACAGTAATCTGCTCTGAGACAGTTGTCAGAAACAAACTTACAAGGCACCACAGCTGCAACAGGGCGTCTTTGCAAATTGTCCTTCTTAATGAGGTTTAGCCATTAGCTCACTCACTATAAAAAATGCTTTTATAATTGCTCAAAATGTTCTGTCTTGTGAAACCTTTCCCAGTCTGGGAAAACTTAATGATCTCTTCAATTTGCAAAACTTTTGCAAAAGCTTGAAGAAGGCCCTGTCCTATAGGGCTCAGAGATGGAACACCAAGCATGGCCTTAAGATTATCTTGTTTTTTGTATCAGTGATGTAAAATAATTGCTTCCTTTCCTGCACTTATAATATTTTACAAACTTGAATCTACCTATTAATTTCACAAATGTCTGTCTGTTTAACAAATATCTGAAGAACAATAACAGTTCTCATTAAACAGTCAACCAGCATTCTGTAACAGCAGCTTGCCCTCAGTCTGTTAATCAAATTGACATACACTAAGTTGAACTTCAGCAGCAGTCAGCAACTGGGTCAAATCAAGCTAAATTACAGGACTTTTATTTTGAAAAGTTGAGAACTACATCTGGAGAAAAAAAAAAAGAATCAAATCAAACTTATATATAAACCACACACATGAACAGTTATAAAGAAAATTCTGTTTCATTCATAAAACAGGTAAGATTTACAAGTTATCTAACTTCACTATGCATCATAGACTATATGTAAAAAGATATGCACATAATATTCAGTTAAAATTGAAAAAAGTCAGTATATTCCTGAACTGTTCAAGATGGGCTCACTTATGACAAGGGATAATTCAGTAGTAGGCTCTGAAGCATTACCACAGGCCAAGCAAACAGCCCACTTCAAGCAGTCATGTTTACAGCAGTCACTGCACTGGTAATGATCAA